CAGGCCAGGGGGGCTGCCGCGGGGACACCGCCCAGTTCAGCACCCCGAGCCCGGCCCCCAGCCCCACTCTCCCCGCAGGACCCTGCTACGATGAGCTCGTCGCTCCCCTCTACTCCTCATCCATCGGTGCCTCCTCCAGATACAACATCTTCTACTCGGCCAGCTTCGCCCGGCTGCACAGTGAGTCCCCTCCCATGGGACCAGGGTGCAGACAGGGTGGGGGACCCTGGGCAGGGGGTGTCCCCGGCAAGGTCTTACCTTGTGTGAGGCTGAGGGGTCCTCAGGTGCCCATGGCAGAGCCCTCGGCATCCCCTGGGGGTGGGGGAGAACCCCGCAGCCCTCCAGCTCCCACCCGCAGTTGGGTGCTGCGGTGGGGCCAAGGAAACAGCTGGGTGCTGGGCTGTGGGGCCGGCTGAGCCGCTCCCCCCCCGCAGGCACCTCGGGCTGGTCCCCCGACCCCCGGGACAAGCAGCCCTGGCTCCAGATTGACCTGATGCAAAAGCACCGGATCAACGCGGTGGCCACACAGGGGACCTTCAACACCTATGACTGGTTGACGCGCTACATTGTGCTCTACGGAGACCACCCCACCAGCTGGAAACCCTTCTTCCAGCAGGGCAGCAACTGGGTAGGGGGGGTCCCCAAGAGTCCCTGCGGGAGGGGGTCCTCTGGGGGGAGCAGAGACCCTGGGCCCGGAGAGAGGTGCTGACAGTGGCTCTTCATCCCCAGACGTTCTTTGGGAACGTGAACGAGAGCGGGGTGGTGCGGCACGACCTGCACTACCCCATCCTTGCACGCTACATCCGCATCATCCCAGTGGCCTGGAACCCACGTGGGAAGATCGGGCTGCGCCTGGGCCTCTACGGCTGCCCCTACCGTGAGTACCCAGCCCGGGGGATCCAGCAGCCCCACGTGGGGTGGGACCCCAGCCCGTCCACCCATGTGGCAGGGGGCCAGCCCCTGGCTCTGGAAAACCCTCTCCCAGAGGGGATTGTGTCCAAGTGGTCTGCAGCCGTCAGCTCTGGCATAGCAAAAAGGAGTTCCCCGTGCCGGGGCACCTGCTGCTGCAGGCAGTGACCTGGCTGGGGCCGCTCTGCTCTCCCCAGGGTCCCACGTGCTCTACTTTGACGGGGATGACGCCATCTCCTACCGCTTCCGGGCCAAAAGGATCAGCACCTTCGAGGATGACATCTCCTTCAACTTCAAGACGCTGGAGCAGGACGGGGTGCTGATGCACGGGGAGGGCTCGCAGGGTGACTACATCACAGTGGAGCTCAAGCAGGCCCAGCTCCTCCTGCACATCAGCTTAGGTGAGCGGGGGCTGGGGGGCCAGGGGACTGGGGGACACAGG